CACGCTGGCGGCATACAAATCTGTGTTCTTCCAGTTCCTCATGAGCGTGTTTTACAGTTTCATTTCAGCTGAGGGATTTACATGGATTCATTTGGAAATCGTCAGACTGAAACAGAGATGTCAATGACTATGCAGATAAAAGAGTGGCATTTCCCCAACATGATGAAAACAGAGCATCAAATCTCAGAAAGATCCTCTATCACGCTGACTTTTAAAAATCTTCTAAATAAAAAGGTTCAACCTTTTAAATTCCCCATTGATTTAGGTGCTGTTCTTCTGTGCCTTTGGGTTTTAATTAAAGTAAAGGGTATGAGGCTTTTTAAAATGAAGGTTTAGCTTTTAAAAGCTGGGGTGAGAGCAGTGCTTCTAGGAATGAGTGCTGTGTTCATGGCTTATATTTTTTTAATGGACTGAGGTGAAAGAATTTCCTCATTGTCTGCACAAATGTACTCTTGGATTGAAACAGAATTCTTTGAAAAGGAAATTACCTGGGCCGCTGGCGTCTAATGCTAAAGATTGGTTGTGCAGTGGCAAAACTGCTTCAGCATTTCTAAAACAGTGTGGAAAAGTCTTAAGTCGATTTAAAATTAATTTCTAATCAGATGTCTGGAAGTGTAGAATGAATCAAATTGGTTTCCAAGGCTACAAACTGGTGACTACAGACATTTTCACTTGGTTTGTTTGGATGGTTCATTTAGGGAGTCATTTACATGCTCTTCTTTTTTATATAACAAAGATTGATAAATCTTGAGTTTCTGATTGTATTTGATTCATCAGCCTCACAGTTTAACCTCTCAAATGTACTTACAATCAAGTCATTTGAATCAGTTCAACTCAATCATTCAAAAGAACCATTTCAAAAGAATGATTCATTCACATACATGTTGTGTTTCTGTAACTTGTGTTTGTTTCTTCAAAAGCTAATCCAGATTCTGTCTCAGGCCGTGTGAATGTATGTGCTCCGGGTCAGTGTGTGTGTGTGTGTGTGTGTGTCAGTGCAAGCCAAGAGAGTCTGTTTGTTCAGTGGTCATGGTCGCACTGTTGGGTTAAACATGGGTTTAATTGTGCATCAAAATGGATTATAGGACTTCTGGCCATATTTTCCACCATGATGTGGCTACAGATCAGGACTGGCAACTGGAAGGTTGTTTGTTCGAGCCTCATATGGAGTGAGCCATCATGAGCCTTTGAGCAAGGCACTTTGCATAATTCCTGTGCCATATGAAAAACTGCAAATTAATGTGACCACTAACGGCTAGCTTTCTCCATATATTATAAAAAGGTGTTATAAAACACCTTTTTCCAAGGCGACTGTTCCTGCAATACATGTGCTGCATGTCAGTTTGGATAAATGTGTCTGCTAGATGGCTGCTTAATTTGCAGAGCATTATTAGTAATTTTTGTGCTGATTTGGGGGAAATTTTGTGAAATTATGTTAAATTGATTTAAATATGATTAAATAAATAGAGCTGAGAGCAATGTCGTGTTATTGGTAGCTGAAAAAGTGTGTGTGTGTGTGTGTGTGTGTGTGTGTGTGTGTGTGTTTTTGTGACAAATGAGGACATAAATTTGTATAATGACAAAGGTATGACATAGGTATTACAAGAAGAAGGTGACTTTTCAGGACATTACCCCATGTCCCCACTTTTCAAAACGCTTATAAATAACACAGAATGGAGTGTATTGAAAATCTGAAATAGCACAAAGTTTCCTGTAAGGGGTAGGGTTGGTGTAGGGCAATAGAATATACGGTCTGTACAGTATAAAAACCATTACGCCTATGGGATGTCCTCACTTTTCACAAAAACAAACCTGTGTGTGAGAGAGAGTGTGAGTGTGCGTGTGTATGAGTGTGTGTGTGTGTGTGTGTGTGTGTATGTATATCTAAAGGTTCTTTATAGTGAAAACATCTTTAGATCTTTATACTAAAAAAAGTGGTTCTTTTAAGAACTATTCACTACATATATATTGCATAATAAACAAACATGCAACAGATTTGTAGAATTTAATGAATTTCAAATGTTTCTGTGGAAATGTTCTGTGGAGTTCTGCAAGCCCAGATTCCTTATATATTGTTATTTTTCCAAGCTATAAGGAAGCTGAAGGCAACATTTCTTAGGCACACAACATTTTTATAGTTCTTCCCCAGGTTCTCTAATGGAAAATGTAGAAGATGCTGGAGTACATAAAGCAAAAGATCAAAAAGATCAGGTTGTTCGGTCAATGGTACCATTGATTTCTACTGACTTAAACACCCTAGAATATGATGTTTGGGGTATTAAGCAATGCTCAGAATGGCCCTAGACCATGTTACGGTATGAAATAATCATGAGTCATGTAGCAAAGCTGTCTTTAAAGCATCTTCTTTCAGTATTTCTGCAGTGACAGGTTTCACATAGGTCACTAAACAATTTATCAGATTGGATTTCCACGTTTCCCAGGAAACCCCAGACACTCGCACAGGTGAAGATGAGCAACATAAACCTGCATCTACCTACCATCTATCAACCTACTGTTTTCATGATGACTGTTACACCCACATGGCTGTGAGGAAAAGTTTATTCTCCAAAACAACACCGATGTCTCATCAATGTCAAAAACACGTCTCTAACATGTAAATATGCATATCACAGTGAAGGTTTATGTAAGTGTGGCTTCTGAGTTAAGTGCATTTGGTTTTCCCTTCAAGCAATTCTCCTCCAATCAGAAGTGCTCATTTTAATTCAGGTGGCATCCGGATAAACTAAACAAATAATTCTGCTCTGGTATTTGGGATTTCGTGAAAGGCCCTGCCCTCACCTCGGGGGCACCAATCACAGCAGACGGCCACCGGATGAGTGATTAGACGCCAAGCTTGATTTGACCTTCAGGCTTTGTGTTGGCAAGCTTTAAAAAAAACACACAAAAAAAAAAGAGCGTGACATGATCTCTTGATCATGGAGGAAAGGACTGATTCAAAAAGCCTCATTAAAGGGATAGTGCACCTAAAAATGAAAATTCTGTCAGCCTTTACTCACGTCATTGCAAACCCGTATGACCGTATGTGGTTATTTTCCTCACACAAAGCTGTTGTGTAATGTAGTGCATTTTTTTTAACTATCCCTTCAAGTGTCAACGAAGAGCTAAACTAGCATTTCAAACACCATAAACAGCCTTCCTGCAAAAAATCCTTTAAAGATAAAAGATCAACAAATCACCTTAAAAACATTACATGACACATCCAACCTCCATGTAGCACTCGGCTCTGAACGCAAACACACCGCAATTACACCTTACAGTAAGGTGCACACAGCCGACTCTCTGAAAATCAATCATTTGGGATTGTTTTTTACAGTTTTAATGGGTTCCTGTGACCTTGCACCTTGTATTCTTTGGAGTGGAAAGCACTTCAGACTTCAACCTGTCGATTTTCCGATTTTAGAAATAAGTTGTGGTCAAATCATCCGGGTCAACAGAGACCCAGCCAAAAAGTTTAGAACTGGGAACTTCAGGCATTTATCCAGAAGGAAAGATATGCTTTTGAAATAAATGTCTCCATCGTTTTGATATATGCGGTGGCTGTTCGTGACAGTGGCAGTTTGTGGGTGAGCTGTTCTGTGCTGTGGATGATATCAGACGCCCGGCCTGCATTAGTCTGTCCACTTTATGGCTGCAGCCAGTGCTTTCCTTCCTCTTATCTGGCAAGAGTTCAGAAGTGACGGATGCATTAGGACATGCACTAGTAGCTTTCAAGAGCTTAAATCCATTTGCTGGATTATCACTTTGAGCCCCTGTGTAATGACATGGCTCAACCCCAAACATCTTCCAGGATGTCGGACACGAAGGGTCGTTTTTTAACACGACCCACGTGGCCCTTTTTAAAACGCCAACGCTGCTAACATTTGCATTTTTCATCAAGCGTACACTAATCTAATGTACATTTAACTCCTTCCTGTATCATCAAACAGAAAAGCATGGCGCTAACAATGCCAAGGTCATGGGTTCCAATTCCCAGGAAAAGCAAGAACTGATTAAATGTATATCTTGAATGCAATGTACTGTAATTGGCTTTGGATAAAAGCATCTGCCGAGTGCAAACTCTTGTATCAGGTTCAAATTCTGGGTACGATTTTTATGGAGGTCTAATTAGATTTAGTACAATTCACCAAAAATCACACTATAAAAACAAACAAACAGGAAAAACAATAAATTTTTAACACTGATACACATTCACACATTGAAAAAAATTTATATGAGGATGTAATTTTTAAAACAACTTTTTTCACAAATTATTAATATTAAACAATATTTATTTTGTTAAACATTTTTTAAAACTTTAACATTATAAACAAAAGACGTATGGAAAAAGCTCAAACAATCAGGGTTATTATAGTTAACCAAAACTAAAACAATAAAAAAAAAAATTAATTCAGCTTCTTGCTGAACTATTTTTATTTAGTTTAACTTGATATACTAAAATAACTAAAATAACCAAAATATTAATAACTATATAGAAATATATATATATTTTAAAACTATTAAAAATGACAAAAACACATAACAAAATTACTAAAACATAAACTAAAATGAAAATGCAAAAATATAAAAACTGATTTGAAATATTACTACAGAACAACAGAGAATGGCACTCACAACGTCAAGATCATGGCTTCAATTCCCAATTAAATACACTTTCTTTCGATTAAAGGTGTCTGCCAAATGCATGTATATACTGTAAATACCATTAGTGGGTAGTTGAGAAACTGACATGACATAAAAACACATCCAGGTTTTATTTTGGGTCTTGCAAATGCATTTAAACTGATCCACAATGCAATGTGAGGTCTAAACCATCACTCGATGGAAGTTTCAAGAAACTGACTCACAAAATAAACTTCCAGAAGTGCGCAAAAGCCTCGTAGCCTTCAGAATCACTTGTGTGTTGTCGGCCAAAAATATTCCTCCCACTTACAAGAGGCTCAATAATAGTGCAAATCTCTTTAACATCTATTTGAGATATTCAAAGAGGTGTTTGCCCGTTGAAATGCGAGTGCCTTACTTCCAGGACATTAATGCTCTGCAATTGAATAACAGAAGAAGAAGTCAATAATAAGGGGGTGGTGGGGCTATCTTGCCCTGAACCCAGGTTACCTTCTGTTTCATCATTTGTTTTTTCTGTTCGCTTGTTTGAATTTGTGCGTGCGTGTTTGCGCGAGAAAGAAACTGAGCGAGAGGAATAATGAAGCCTGTCTTCGCATCATGAGGCCTTTCCCATGCCGCATTACTCTAGTGCCATCAGACGGCGAGGGAGGCCATCAGCAGCGTTGCATCTGTACGACTCTGCTAATTGTTCTCCTGCCTTTATTAGACTACAGCCATCAGAGAGAGAAGGGGAAAGACATCATCTCCAGCCTAATTCTCTCCCTCGCACTATCTATCTATTTCCCGTCAGACTCTGGTCTGAATGAGGCCGCTCCCTTTTATCACACAGATTAGGCCTACTTCACAGGGTGACTCCAAGCCATTAAATTGTTATCTGTGTCAGAGCTGAAATATGATGTTTACGGTCCTGTTTGGCTATTAGTGTTAGAATCAGTCTATGGTTAGAATTGAGATCTCATATCCACGACAGGCTCGGTAGACATCGATGTCGCTTGATTTGAATGTGAAAACTATATTACATGCCAAATGATGCACACCGAGCATTAAGACGAACATTAAGCCTAATTATTAGAGTCTGTGTGGCTGGGCGCAAATATGAAGCAATATCTCCGCCTGAAGACATTTTGTCAAAGAAATGCTCATTAAACACTAAATTAGACCATTTAAACCTAAACTTTAGACTTTTGGATTTCAGGGTATTGAATGATATACCCATCTGTATGGGATGTGCTTTATTTTCCATATTGCTGTATGTATTCATCTCCAGTGATGGTCCATCTGCGCCATCTCATGGCCGACGTGCGTTACTGCATCTATACTAATAATAATAGTGGATGTTTTGTCCATGTGGAATCAGATACAGATTTTTTAAAGTGTAATTTTACATACAGTTTATATGTACCATATGTTTAAACAATTCATATAGTATGTATGTTTTATATTTATTTAAAGACCTGAAGGGATAAAAAACACATTACTACTACTACTTTATGTATTAACACACACTTGCATATTATAATTTCTACAAAATGTAAATAAATAAATATATACATCACCTTTTTCAACGCTTCTGTGAATGGGCAAGACTTCCGGTTCATGAGCCGCTGTAGGGAAAATGGCGAGAAGAATAACAAAGTGCAGTAAACAGTAAAACTGTTTGCACTACAAACCACTGTGTTCATAATTAAGATAATACATCAATATAATATAGTAATACACACCAGTTTGCAATTCCAAGCCGCAAAACGAGCTGTTTTGTACAGCTAAAAATAGCTGGAAGCGTCACACATAAAATTTAGAAATGGCCCCGCCCGCTCTTACTGAAAAATTCGAACGAAAGCGCGTATTCTGTTGTTTCCATGGTGTTCACTTAACATGTGCCGCTGACCTGCCTTCACTGTTGCGCCGCGCTGGTATTTACGACACTTTCGTTCGGAAGACGGCAGTATGCGGGCACAAATGTGGCGTGTGGCGTGTGTTTCTACATTCAGAGTCCTGACTCGAGTTTGTGTGTCATCGCAGCGGGTGTTTACAGCCCACAACTTCTCTCTCTTCAGTCCATGTACCTCTGTGCTTGCCAAGGGTTTGATGTCAAGACGACCTCACAGCAGGAAGATGTCTCAGTCCTTGGCGCAGCGGATGGTCTGGGTAGATCTGGAGGTAAACAGCAGCAGATAAACACAAAAAACAAGACTATATATTGTTTATAAGATTTCACTCAGTCGCTTTTAATCATAATCAAGATTTTTTTTATTCAACGAAACGTTAGGCCTACATGGCTAAACACGATGCCTGTATGATCGAGTTTGACAGCTGGTTTTATGCTGAATGCTGAATGAATTTGCATGGGTTTTTATAATATACAGCATGTAAAAGATTCAAAATAAACGATCTGCTTATATAGCAAGTCCAGCACAATCTGTTCATGTTAAAACGTCTTTGCACAAGATTTAGAATCGTCACTGCAGCTGATGACCAGCTGACCAGTTTTTGCACATAGTCTTTGGTTTTGGTTCCACCCTACGCAGGAATTTTTTATCCAGGAACTTTTTACAGATACATATTGGCAGAAGTCCTCACAGTGATTGTGCAGTTATAGGATTGACAAGTTTTCAGTGTTGCATATTAATGCCACTCTACTTCCTGTTTCAGATGACAGGGCTGGATATAGAGAAGGACCAGATTATTGAGATGGCTTGCATGGTTACAGATTCTGATCTGAACATCATTGCAGAGGTGGGGTTTTTTCCATTGCATAAACAGCATAAGTCCCATGCAGTCGGAATTAGAGTTTGTGGCTGTACGTAGTGTCTTCTAGTTTTAAGGGTGATCTGCATACTAGTGTACACCTATAAATTGACATAATTTGCTTTTTAGTTAAGTTTATTTATAAAGCACATTTAAAACAACAAATACTGTACAAAAGTAGAGCTGATCAATTATGTTAGCTTAATTCCTATCATGTCTGTTTCTATGTATATGTATGTGTATATATGACCTCTCCCAAATACCACCTGCATGTAATGTGTCATATACATCTCACCCCAAATAAAAATACGGCAATGCTTTAAAGCTAGAAAATTGTTGGTTGTTGTTGTTAGGGGCCAAATCTGATAATCAACCAACCAGGCAAGCTGCTCGATGGCATGTCAGACTGGTGCAAAGAGCATCATGGGAAGGTGAGTAGTACAGATCGATGCACCTGCTGAGTGTTTCCTGTTTGTGTGAATGAGCCTGTCTGTGCTTGATGTGTGTTGTGTGATTGTGTTCTTGTTTGATGTGCCAGTCAGGGTTGACTCAGGCTGTCAGGGACAGTCTCATCACTCTCCAGCAGGCGGAGTATGAATTCCTGTCTTTCATCCGACAGCACACGCCACCCGGACAGTGTCCTCTCGCAGGTAACTAACCAGACGAGCTGCGGTTGTTTCTTTTGCATGTTGCAGGTGTAAAATACTATGGAAGCTCATTTCTGCCATGGAATAAAAAAACTAAAAGGGTAATTCTGACTTTTTTTCCCCCTCATAAATGTAAAAAGTTTACATCTTAATTTTTCTTCATAATTGCGAGTTATAAACTCACATTTACATCTTACTATTCTGATGTTTTTTCTTCTCCGAATTCTCAGTTTACATCTCACAGTTTTGACTTTTTTTTTCTCAGAATTCTGACTTTGTCTCACGATTCTTTCTTTTTTTCTGTTGTGGAATAAAAAATTGAAAAAGGTGATGCCGACTTTCCTTCAGAATTGCAAGTTATATAAACTCGAATTTGTGAGTTTGCATCTCGCAATTATGGCGACTTCTTATTCTTTATTTCTTATAGACTCGCAGTTTTCACTTTTTTTTCTAAATTCTGACTTAATCTCACAATTCTTTTTTTTCTGCCACAAAATAAATATATAAAATAGGTAATTAGGATTTTTTTAATTCTGACATTTGTATTATTCAGATTTCGAATAATTTCAGACTCTATTCTGAAGTTCTGGAAAAAAGTCTGAATTGTGATATATGAACTTAGAATTGAAAGAAAAAAATGCTTCTTTATGCCTCAGAGTGTTTGTGTGGTTCTTCATCCACAGGGAACTCTGTTCATGCTGATAAGAAGTTTCTGGATAAGTACATGCCGCAGTTCATGCGACATCTGCACTATCGTATCATAGACGTGAGCACCATTAAAGAGCTCTCCAGGTATGCTCCCCATTTAGGTTTAATCAGATGACCGAATGACCGCTGTTGCCACATTAATGCACGCAGACGTGCTTCAGCATGAACTAGAGAGACTATTTTCAAAAGTACAGGAAGAACGTGGTGATGTCACAATACTTTCTCCTTTTGTTCCATTCTGTTGCTTAGACGATGGTACCCAGAGGAGTACAGTCTCGCACCACAGAAAAAATCATCGCACAGGTCTGTGTACATCACACAGGTGTTCCACAGCTGTATTGAATGCCACGTTTAGCATAGCAAAGGATCCTTTGTTGTACTCCTTAAATATTTAAGCCTAAAAGAAGAGCTGTTTTGTCTAATCTTGTGTCCGTTTGAATTTTCAGAGCGCTGGAAGACATCCAGGAGAGCATAAAAGAACTGAAGTTTTACAGAGTGAATGTTTTCAAAATGAACGAGAAGAGAAAAATAGTCCAGAATGGTGATAAGACATCTGTGAACTAATCTCCAAGCTGATCTGGAGTGGTTTTAGGATCTTGTGCCGAATTCTCACCTTTGGATGAAAGCCTGTGCGAATACTCGAGAGAATGAGAGAGCAAAGCTTCACGTTGACGTCCCCAGTGTTTGTTTCCTGTTTTATTTGTTGACTCTGCAAATAGCTTAGTTTAAACAGAGAGAGATAAGTCCAAAAAGTTCAAAATGCTGCAAATATGTCATTGTTTTGAACGAGTTCCATTTTATCCCTTGTGTTCCACTTTAGAAATATGATTTGTTGTTGGATTATGTCAGTGTGTAGTAATGAAACAAAAGTGTGATTGCATAAGTTCTTTAGTCTCAGAGTGTTTTGATTACACCCCTTGTTTTTTTTGTTTTAATAAAAATCATTTGTTGCTGTTTTTGGAGTGTATTCAATGTGATTTTGCTGAAAATTTGTTGCTGACCTGTAACTACAGTAACCTCAATCATACGGCAGATGGCAGTATACAGTCAGGTAATATCTGGAACACGTTCGCACGGGTGATTAGTGGGGTTGTCGAGTGAAAATACCAAGTTTTTGAGACCTTACGTAAAATAATATTAAGTGGAAAAAAAGAGGGAGGATATTTTAAATGGAAAAAGTCCAAAAAGTTCAAAATGCTGCAAATATGTCATTGTTTTGAACGAGTTCCATTTTATCCCTTGTGTTCCACTTTAGAAATATGATTTGTTGTTGGATTATGTCAGTGTGTAGTAATGAAACAAAAGTGTGATTGCATAAGTTCTTTAGTCTCAGAGTGTTTTGATTACACCCCTTGTTTTTTTTGTTTTAATAAAAATCATTTGTTGCTGTTTTTGGAGTGTATTCAATGTGATTTTGCTGAAAATTTGTTGCTGACCTGTAACTACAGTAACCTCAATCATACGGCAGATGGCAGTATACAGTCGGGTAATATCTGGAACACGTTCGCACGGGTGATTAGTGGGGTTGTCGAGTGAAAATACCAAGTTTTTGAGACCTTACGTAAAATAATATTAAGTGGAAAAAAAGAGGGAGGATATTTTAAATGGAAAAGTTGGTTGAATGCAACATAGCAACTACTAGCATATTATATTTTCACTATTGCTACATTTTTATATAGCGGTATGCTCTTCCGAATTCAGCCCTTCTTTTTATTGCAGGTGGATAGACGGGAGGATTTAGAGTGCTTTCACACTTGGTTCGATTGCTTGGTCCGAACCCGAGTTCGATTGCGAAAATTATAGGGAGTGTTATGAAGATATACAGCTCTCTGCTTGCAGCGCGTCAGTCACGCTCGTCCAGAAAGTGAGTAAAACACACATTTTTATCAAATAATACGCCATTAATAGCTGTTCACTTCCGTGATTTGGTATGATTGCGTTCACATCAGCAGCGAACCGTACCGGAGTTCACTTGAACCGTACCCCAGACCACCCTTTTTAAGCGTGCGCACCAAAAGTGCTAGTGTGAAAGCACCCTAGTGACGTCACCCTACACGGAAAGTTGTTTGAGGCAGTTAATTACAAAGACTGAACTTATCTGTAGAGTAATGTGTGTGTACGAATCGTGTGCAGCAATACAGCAGATGTGTATTAAGAAAGTAAATGTGACCAATTGTGACAGAGTTTGACAGTTCCAGTCTTTTGAACTTGACTTGGCCTGTTATTTGCTCAACTAGTTAAACAAAGCATGCAGGGATGCCATTGCCTCGTCAACTCTCTGTCGAGGTTGGTAAATGTTGCTCTCAAAAGTCACTTTGTGTTTTATGCTGTTTTAATGTGGCAGGGACTGCTGGGACTTCAAATCCTGTTTGATTGGAGCACCCCAAGGTAACATGAGCACTCTGTCTGTCACTGCTGCCACTGGAGGATTGCAGGTTTGATTCTACAAGGGAAACTTTAAATAGAAAGACACGGACAATGCATAAACCATGTACTGTAGCTTCTCTCATCTCTCCCCCTCAGAATCTTTTTCTCCCAGAGGATGAAGAATATCCTCATTTGTGTTCAGGACAGACCGATCTGGACATCTCTGTGTGTCGCAGTGTTTGCTCTGGTCTGGTCAAATGATTTAGAAACATTTAATCATTTAACAGGTGCTTTTATCCAAAGCGACTCACAAATTAATAAACATTGCAAGAAATTTCTCACAAGACCCAATCA